CAAGATTGAGATCGTTGTCAAGTCATTTAAGAAGTGTGGCATTTCAAATGCCATAGATGGAACTGAGGACGAGGCAATATATGAAGACAGTGATTCGTCATCAGACACAGATGAGGACAAGCTAATGGTTGGGAGTTTTAACAGTGATGAGGAGTTGTATGAATTTTATGATGAGTAAAACTTGAGTTCAATAACTTTATGTAATACATTTTTTTCAAATTTCGGGCCCCCAAATTAAGGTGCGTCTAATACATGGGAGGGTCTTATACATGGAGAAATACGATATTACTTGGCAGAAGTAGATTGTAAGGCACTGTATTTAGTATGACCCCACTTATGGATTGTGAAAAACATGTCTGCCTCCACACACACAGAAGTGGCTCTGGAAAACCATAGCCCAAATATTATTATAATAATGATTACCTTGGTGTGGGTGCGGGGAAAGAGACCAAGAGTTTCCTCTAAACATGTTCTTGAAGAGTAATGGAAAGAAAGAAAAGGTGCATGTGTTAAAAAATCCCAGGACGGAAGTGTGACTAGGGGAGGAAGAAAAGGCAATCCGCAGTTAAGACAAAAGGATATAGGAAAAGGGCCTGGCTATGAGAGGAGAAATAACCGTGTTCAGGAGGAATGACGGTGCCAGACATGCCATGACATTGGTCAGTGACAGTCATGTGCAGACGCTCGAGGGGCCCGGCGTCAGGCCCCAGCGGCACGCAGGTCGGCCCGTCTGCTGCCTGCACCGCGGGGTTGATCTCCCAGGAGTCAACCTGAAATAGTCCATAAATGCTCCAGTCTAAGTCAAGACTAAGCTTTCTAAAAAGCTCCATAAAAACATACTGCTAAGCGGTCAAAGGTGAAAACTCATTTAAAAATAAAGAAGCTAGATTTTTTAGAATGGCTCCTTGGAAAGTATTTCAAAATGTTTGAGGGTATGTCACTAAAATATATGACCGCTCTTAAAGCCTCAGTGTCACCCTCTGGGACTTTCCAAAGCCATGAATTCCTCATTTACGTTTACAGGCAGCTCTTGGCTCACTGCCTCCTGCCCTAAATGGCTCTATTCAGTGAAGGGGACGCAATGGCCATCAAAGGGGTCCAGGATGGCAGTGCCCGCAGTCACCAGACGGCAGGGCTTCTACCATCACAGCTGTGCCAGCCCTGACACTGGCTAGGTACCGGAGGGGCACCTTCATCAGGGGAATTAACTCGTACTAGCCACACTCACAGTTTCGTGTTAACCAAGATGCTAATTTCATATTTATATTTGTGACAGAACTATTAGAGAAAACAAAATACTCACGGGAACGAAGCCAAGAATTTTATTCTCTTGTGACTTATAAAATCTGTATTACAGTAAGACTTCTAGTTTCAAAGGAAAGTATTACAAGATTTTACTAAATAATTAATAGTACTAATTAATCCATGCACATACCAACTTCAAAAAAAAGCTATTCTATAAAATGAGCTGAGCATCTGTTTATGTGAGTTACACTTATAACCTCTGTGATACTTTAACTAGAAGTAAGTGTTAATAGTACAGAAGGGGAGTAAAAGTGTCAGTATCTACCCAAGGAAAATAATACATTTTCTTTTTAAAAAACAGTTCAATACCCAATGTTGTTATTATTCTAACTTTGAACAAAGATGGTATATATAACTGGAATATCTGTGCAAGGTTTCCATGTGATCACATTTAAGACAACCATTAAACCAAAATGATTTTCTTTTACCCAAGGATGAGGATAATCAAATTACGTTTTCTACTACATATAAATTAGCCTTATAAATAAACCAGACACTCTCTTTTCTTGTTTTGTTATTGTTACCTTAAAGAAAATAAAAACTTGTCACAATTAATGCTTAGAAATATAAACTTTGGAGCCAGATAAAACCTTAGTCCAATTTCAGCTCTACTACCTACTAGCTGTGACACCCTTGGCCAGTCTCTTAACCTTACTAAGTTCATCTCCTCAACTATATAGTGGAGAAAATAGATGTTGCAAAGATTGAAATAACATATGTGTTATGGGCTGACCTGGTCTCCCCAGAATGGATACGTCGAAGTCCTAACCCCCAGGATCTCAGAATGTGACTGTATTTGGAGGAAGAGCCTGGAAAGGGGGTAATGAGTTAGAAAGAGGTCATTAGGGAGGGTCCTAATCCCCTATGACTGGTGTCCTTGCTAGAGAAGGAAATCTGGACACAGACAGGTACAGAGGGAAGATGTTGTAAAGACATGGGGAGAAGACGGCCATCTACAAGTTAAGGACAGAGGCCTCAGGAGAAACCAACCCTGCCCACACCTTGATCTCAGACTTCCAGCCTCCAGAATTGTGAGAAATGTCTGTTGTTTAAGCCCCCCAGTGTGTGGTACTTTGTTATGGAAGCCCTAGCAGAGTCATACAATCTGTAAAGAATTTAGAAGAGTGCCTGGAACATGGTAGCATCCCATGAAATTTTAAGTCTAACTTGTTAGCTTGTCAACAGGGTGAAATCTCAGATTTTGCACAGTTCTTGACAGTTTTGGCTGACAGAGCTATGGTTTTCTGGAAAAGACGAGGGCCTCAGTAGGCTGGGTCCAGTACTGAATGCTTTCGCTCCAGTAGCGGGAAAGGCGAAGAGGAGGTAGCCCCTGGCATCCCACAGTCCTACCTACTAAGGGATGTTTGAGGCTAAGCAGTGAGAGATGGGATGAACACAAGGAACCAGTGTTATGCTAGTACCTCACGGTGGGAGCAGGAAGGGGGTTAACATAACAAAGCAGCACACCCCACGGCCCCAGCAGAGAAGAAATGCGGCTGTGGCTGCTCTCAAAGGGCCCCAAAGCTCAAACAATGCTGTCAGCAACGCGGAAATAAAACTGAGCAAACGGGAAGACACAAGTGCATTCAGCACAAGCTGGGCAGCTGATGAAAGCCAAAGCACGGGCAGAGCGCTGTTTGCCAGCATGAAGCTGCTCCTGCCTGTACAGCTCCATACCTCCTTCACCCTCTACTCCGACCTCAGCTGCTCTAAGGACAAAGAATGTACAGGGTTCAGTAGCATCTGTGACTTCCGGCATTCACTGGGGGTCTTGGAGCTTATCCTCTGTGGATACAGGGGTACCATCTAGATGACATCCTGGTGTTAACGAGCTAGGAGCCTGTCTCGATGGTCCAGACTAGGGCCATTATCTACCTGACTGTGTTATTTATGTCTACCTGGAGGAGTGGCTGATAAACTCTGACAGAAATTCAGAACCCTGTTTGCCAAGTCAAGTTTCTCAAGATCACCTGGACAGTCACAACCCTCAATTCCCCCCGTGAGTCACACAAACAAATGCTGTCTCCCTGACCTCGCACCACCAAAAAGGAGACTCAACACCTTATTGAGACTCGTATTCAGTACTGCAGGCAGCATGCGATGACACCAGTGGCAACGCCCAGATGTGAGCATGTGCAAACACACGGCCAGGACAACACAGCTTCAATCCAACGAATCACGTGCTTCTCTGAAGTCTGAATCGCTTTGGATTTTGCCATGTATGGCAACTGTGGCTTCAACTACTTGGTGACACTATCTCTGTGACTTAATCATATCCATATAGTGTGATTCAAATCAGGTTTAACAAGAAGTCCTGAAGGCGAGTGGCCTGGGCCTTGGGGTTATGTGCTTGTACGTGGGGAAAACGGGCCACGGAAGGACCTCTCCATTAGGGGTGGGGTTGCTTTTTGGCCCATCTCTTGCCTCCTGTAATTTTTGGCAATGGCACCAAAGATCAGCAAGGCAGTCAAAACTCCCCTGTGTGGGTCATAATGGATAATAGGTCTTGGACTACATTCTGGCTAATGAAAACATCTGCTGGTCCTTGGAATTCACAGTTAAGTAAATCCAAGACCCTGAGGTACATGAGTGAGGTCAGTATTGCAGACTGGCTTCATCCTGCTGTTCTGTCTGTTGACATAGCCTTAACTAATTGGTTTATCAGACCAATCGAATGGATTTGGTATTGACTAAACCACCTGCTTGTCAGATCAATCAGAACAGCTAATAGAGCGAGTGGCATACTGACACGAAAATTCAAGTTTGGCCACGAATGTGTCAGGTTGGGGAATGAACTGTTGGAAGAGGCGACCCGTTATGTGCCCTGAGCAACACTGCGTGCTTTCTGGGCAGCCACGAATGCAAGGCCCTGACCTATCTGTACTGAGTCCATGTCTCAGGCTTGTGTTTTACACTGATCAACTGTGAGACATGAAGTAACAACTCCCCCTGGACAAAGAACAGGATTGCTTCTGCTTATTATAAAAGCAAATGACTATCCCGAGCTCAGCATTCCTCTCCTGTAACACAACCCACACGATGTGTGCAGGCCATTTGGGACTTTGTGTCGCTCTTGTGGGACAAACCAACACGAACCCTGATGACTGCTTTGCTATGAATCATAAAAGTCCCTGACCAAAGTGTGCCGTGTATTCCGTAGCATCCCACAAAACAGTAACAGGCTAACTTGTGAGCTTGTAAATATGGTGAAAGCCCAGACCCTGCATAGTTATTGACGGATGTCAATCATGTTCTTCTTGGTAACAGCCAGCATTTCAGGCACTATGACTTGACTACTGGAAAACTTGCTAGCATGACATATCACAAAAGATTACTTCCCACAGGCTTAGCCAACAGCACTACAAAAGTAAAAAGCCCTCTGCTTGCTGTGATGTTAGCTGTGTGTGTCCAAGCCCAGTAATAATCTCACTGTCTGTCTGAAGTACTAACAGTACTAAGTCCAGAGCTCGGCGCCAGGCCTCCGTCTTTGGTGTAACAACATCATAAACTCTTGGAATCTGTTCCACTTTATTCGAAATGCCTGAATTAAAAATTCCACTATTTAGTTTACTATATTCATTCAAGATGTAGGATGCAGGCGACCCAGAGTCTGTGGCACTTTGTAGATGGTGTTGAATGAATGCGCTGGCTTCAAATTCTGAGGAGGAATGGGCGGTGTTGCATAGGAGGGTTGAGAGGTACTGGTGCCAGCCGCGTGCCAAGCACTTGAGCACCGTCGGTCTGTGTAGTGCCAGGGATGAAGCCAGCCAAGAGGAAGTGTAAGGAAGCCCTCCCGAACTGGCTTGGTTTCCTTTATTCACAGGCTGCCCCACGAGGCTTTGAAGATGGCTGAGGCACAGAAATTCCACGGCACCGCCTCCAAGGAAGACCTTTTGCTCTTTCAGAGCACAATGCAGACGACGCGCGCACGTCCAGAATCTGTCTTCCTTGGTCTGCATCTGCGCAGAGACTGGGCCAGTGAGCACTGCTGTAACCAAATCCATTCCTTCTGTTTGCAGCACGACTGCCATGCTGCTGACCCTATCGACCCCCGCGGGAACGCGTCTCCAGAAGGCCACACGGACCCCGCTGCCCACACAGTCTTCCGTCACTTGGGTAATGTAGGCCACTCGCACTGCTCTGGAAGCTTCCGCCAAAGCCTGCATTGCACCGCCATTCACTGACCCAATCACCAGCCGCTTACTGCGGATGCATTTCTCAATCAAGGGTTCAGACACACTTCCTCGCACCAGGACGAGCTTCACGTTGAACTTGTCTAGGACCTGTAGTACCTGATCTGTCCACAGTACTTCTGAGCGGGCTTGGTGAGCCGCCACGCCTTCCAGCTCTGTTCTCACTTTGGCAGCTCCATTGAACCCCAGGTGGCGGTAGTTCTCTGTGAGGTCGCCCTCGATGAGAGTTACCCGCAGAGGCTGGCTCTGTAATTCCTCGATCAGAGCAGCACTGGACACTGAAACAACAGTGACGTAGCCTGCACAGACGCAAGACCAAGTTTCGGGTAAGCCCGGCAAACAGCAGGTGAAGACTCCTGAAATGTCGAACGTCCCCGGGGCGGCCCTGCGGCCTCGCTGCACACCCGCCTTCAGGCACTGCAGCTGCGCGGCTGCGTCTACTAGTTTCATGCTGCTGCCATCTCCGTGGCTCAGACCCGCCTCCAGCTCTGCCACGTCCTTACATTTGTGAGTGCGGGGCGTAGCCACACGCTGATGTTCTAGAAACCCATCTGGTTTGCTTGTCCATTGATTCTCACCCACCCTATTAAAATGCCTGCTGTGGATTAGTACTGACTTTCTGCAGCGGGTGTCTGCACGCAGACTGTTGCTCAGAGTCTGCGGAGTGTGTGACGTGTTTTCATCAGCTTCCTCCTTAGACTGGGTTCTAAGCAGGTCAGCTGATTTAACAGGTCTCCCAGGAAGACTGGAAATGGTCACTGATGGAGAGGCATCTCCGAGATCGTTCTCTTTCTGCACCAAACCAGTGTCTGCAGGGATTGGTAGAAAGGGACAAAAAGTGACACTATGTGAGTGAAGTCCAGGAAACGTCTGGGCGTCGTCTGCGTGGTCAGATGCATTGAGGACAGGTATCTGAAGGGAAGAGACCGCCTCAATGCAGGAGTTCAGGCCTTCTGACATCACAGACACGACGGAGGAGACCGGGACGCCCAGGTGCAGACACTGCTCGGCTGCCCTGCTCCACGCGCCGGCGAGAAACAGGAGGGTGCTGGTCCCCGTTCCGTATGCGTTATTCTGTGCTTGCACTGCTTCGCTGAGGAGCTGTCCCACAGCACTGGACAAATCCAAATTTTCAAGAAGCCTCATGGTCGAACTGACTAACACACTGTCATGACGCTCTTCGTCTATAATGAATTTGGATGATTTTACTGGGCCAAGGAAAGTTCTTCCTGTTTCTGCAAATGATGAAAGTTGTTGAAGTCCCACGTGCCTCCTTTTGTTTATGACCCTGCAAGCCATCACCATAAAGCATCGTCTGCAAATAAAATAAAAACTTGGAACTTTATTCAGTGTAATTCATGGTTATCAATGCTTATAAAAGAAAAATGAGATACAGCTGCTGCCTTGGAGGAGTTTCTGGTACGCACAGCTTCCATGACATGTGGTCAGTGCAATGGCACAGTGTTACCATGCGATTAGTGATGGATGTCGGAGGAGGAAGACTTCCTCCCACAGGGGAAGCGGATCATGCAGGCAGCAGGCACTGTTTTCCGCAGAAGGCAGCGCCTGAAATGTCCTGAAGAATAACTCGAAAGAGTGAGCAAGTTGAAGGAGGTGGTAGTACACGCACATACGTATATGTGGAAAAACACGGTGTACTGGGGTAAACGAGTAGTTTAGTTTATGGGGTTATAAAGAAAGTGGGGAACCGTAGAAGCCCTAGAAGGGGCAGGGGGTGGGGTCACGCAGGGCATTATGTGCCAGGCCCAGCCTGATCCAACAGTGGGAACCACTGAAATGTTCTAACTAAGGGAGGTTACGAGACAGCTTGGCGGAGTGTCCGCAAGTGTGGGCTCTGCATCGAGAGGTCTGGGCTTGAACCTGGCTCTGCCGCGTACTAGCTGTACAGCCTTAAGCACGTTGTTTACCTATTCGGCTCTGTGTCCACATCTGCAAAACAAGGACAGTAACAGAATCTACTTTATAGAGTGATTATAAGGAGTAACGAGTACGGTGCTAAGAGCAGTGCCTGGCACATAGTTAGAGCTTTATGAGGACTTGCTATAATACTACATATAGTAATACTATGACTACTATTTGTGTCTTGGCTGTATTATCACTCTGATAACAGCAGAGATAACTGGTTGGATGAGGGCCGGACTGGAGGCAGAGAGGCCAGTTAATCTTCTATAGTTTTCAGGTGAGCTATGTCAAAGGGGGATGGAGGCGAGGGGATAGATCTGGTTATTGATTAGGATATCAAAAGGAAAAAAGTACTATTTAAAGGCAAGTTCAAAGGACTTTTTCTACATAATATTTCAGAATTCACATCTAAAACTAATAGGAAGAAGTTACAAGAGAAAGACTTTATTTAGCCCAATAAAAAGAGCTTATCAACAAAATCCCCCCTAATTGAAAAGCTGTCTATAATAAAATGACCTTCCTTGTGAGGTATGAGCTCTCAGTTAAAGTACCAGAGCTAAAACTGTAGATAATACAAACTTCTCTTCCACCCTTAAGGCATTATAATTCTTCAAGTAATATTTTTTAACCACAATCTTTTAAATCCAAAATATCGAAGAGCAAACAACTCCTACGTTTTGCTTTTCCCCCAGTGCTGGCCAGAGCACTGGTACATTTGTTTCTAAAACACCGACATTCATCCGTGAAGCTCAGGGGCACCGTAGTTCCAGATACACCTGAGGTCGGCAGGCGGCCACTAACACAACTATTCTCAAAAGCAGCTTCTTACAGTCTTTCAAGGACCAAGGAGAAAAGCTAGTACAGTCTAGGAAAATATATAACGGATTGTTTGAACTCAGTTTCACATTCTCTTTTGTGAGATTTTTCAATTCTGTGAGCTAAAATAACTCTTTATATGCTCGGGATATTCCTCGACGGCATCAAAATACACTGTAGGACTCCCGACTTCAATAACCCTGAGACCCGCCACGTCTTACAACTATCTGATCTTACCACGTTCTGTCCTTCACGTCTCACCCCATGTTATCAATTCTCTATTCACCCAACTTGAATTCCCATTGGTCAGTTGCTACAATCACTCCTTTGCACACACATTCTCAAAACCCTTATCCCTTTTTTGGTTCATCTTACCTTGCAACACTAATCTTGATGAAATCCAATTCTCTCTACTCCAAGCTTTCCCTGGGGTAGCTGAAAATAAACAGAAAAACACACATAACCATGCTGATTGGTGTCATTTTAAGTTCATGAACCCAAACCTCAAGTGGCACTAATAGTTCCTGGCGATCTAGTTCCCTCGTCTATCTTTTTTTCTTTTTATGGTTATTACTTTCTGGGCTCTATTTTTTAAAGTTTTGCCTATCCCTGAGTTAAAAGGTATTCTTCTACGTTGCTTCTAAAAGCTTTATGGTTTAGACGTCTTTAAATGGAGGTGAAATTCACATAACATAAACTTAACATTTTAAAGTGTACGATTCAGTAGCACTTGGCACAGTCACAGTGTTGTACAACCACTACGTTTATCTAGTTCCAAACATTTCTATGGCAGCAGAAGAAAACCCTGTAGCCAGGAAGCAGTGCCTCCCTGTTCTGCTCACACCAGCCCCTGGCAACCGCCAACCTTTTTCTGTCTTTATGGATCTATCTACTCTGAATATTTCATGTAAGTGGAGTCATCCAATATGTGACCTTTCCCATCTGGCTTATTTCACTCAGCCACATGTTTCTGAGGTTCATCCACATTGTATTCCGTGTCAGGGCTTCATTTCTTTTTGTGGCTGAGTAACATCTCATTGCAGACGTGCATTGTTTTGTTTACCATCCATCATATCCGCTGGTGGACGCGTGTTTCTACCTTTTGGCTACTGTGAACATTTGTGTACAAATACTTGTGTGCCTGTTGTCAGTTCTTTGAGGGACACAGGACTGGTCATATGGTAATTTATCTTTAACATTCTGAGGAGCTGCAACCTGTTTTCTCTAGCAGCTGAACTATGTTACTTTCCCAACAGCAATGTACCAGGGCTTCGATTTCTCCATTTCCTTGCTGTGTTAGTTTCCTAGGGCTGCTGTACAAAATTACTACAAACTGGGTGGCTTAAAAGAATACGGATTTATCCTCTCGTGGTTCTGGAGTCTAGAAGTCTGAACTCAAGGTATCTGCAGGGCCATGTTCCTTCTGATGGTTCTAGGGAAGACTCCTTCCTTGCCCCTTCCAGCTGCTCCCAGACGGCCCTGGCTTTCGGCAGCATACCTCCAATCTCTGCCTCCCTTTCCCATGGCCTTCTTGAAGGACATCAGTCACTGGAGTTGGGGGCCACCCTAATTCAGTGTGACCTCATCTTAAATAACTACATCTACAAAGACCTTATTTCCAAATAAAATCACATTCTGAGATTCTGGATGCACATGATTTTTTTGTGTGTGTGGGGGGGAGGAAGAGGCCACTACTCAATCCAGTACCCTCACTGACACTTACCATGTTTATTTTGGTTTTGTTTTTTTTAAAATAGACATCCTAGTGGATGCGAAATAATATTTTTTTGTAGTTTTGATTTGCATTTTTCTAATGACTAATGATGTTGAGCACATTTTCATGTGTTTGTTGGCCATTTGTATATTTTCTTTGGGAAAATAACTATTCAAACCTTTAGCCCATTTTAAAATTGGGTTGTCTTTTTGTTGTTGAATTTTAAGAACAGTTCTTTATATATTCTGGATATAAGAACCTTATCAAAATAATCATATTTTCTCTCATTCTGTAGGTTATTTTCCACTTTTTAAAATAACGTACTTTGATCCATAAAAGTTTTTAATTTTAATGGTCTAATTTGTCTATTGTTTTCTTTGTCACTCATGCTCTTAGTGTCATATCTACTAATCAACTGCCAAATCCAAAGTCATGAAGATTTAACCCAATGTTTTCTTCAAAGAGTTTTATATCTTATATTAAGTTTGTTGATATATTTTGAGTTGATTTTTGTATATGGTTGAGCTAGGGATCCAACTTCAATTTGGGGCTGGTTTATTTTATTTTATTTTATTTGCACTTGGATATCAAATTATCCCAGTACCATTTGTTGAAGAAACTATTCTTTTCCCCATTGAGTGCTCTTGGCACCTTTGTCAAAACAATCAACTGGTAATAGATGTATGGATTTATTTCTAGACTCTCGATTCTATTTCATGGGTCTATATGCTCATTCTTAAGCCAGGACCACACTGTTTTGATTACTGTAGGTTGGTAGTAAGTTTTGAAGGAAGTGTGACTTCTTCAACTTTGTTCTATTTGTATTAGCTTTTACATTTACATTTACAACTTATCTTAAACTGATTTCTGTAAATGTTATGAGGTATGAGTCATTTTTTTCCCCTCATGGATTTCCAGTTGCACCAGAATAATTTGTTGAAAAGACCGACTTTTTGCTTTTGTTTTTATTTTCTAACATGTTTTGAGAGCTTATTCAGTATGAGGCACTTCACATGCATTATGTAATGTAGTCCTCACAACATGCGGTAGATACTATAATTAACCTATTTTAGTGATGTAGAAAATAAAGGACAGTTAAGTAATAGTAAGTAAAAGGTTATGGACAGAAACCCAGGCTTTTCTAAAGCCAAAGTCCCATGCTATTAGCTACTATTCAGTACTGCCTTCCAGCTGCCCCTCTGCCCAGCACAACAGTAACTCACCCTCTTTTCTGTAGAACCTTCCACTGCATTCCCACTTCCAAACCTTCCTACCTTCTTCCAAGCCTGTTCATATCCTTATACAGATGTGCCCATTTTTTTATTCAAGTCAGAGTCTTTGTCTATTGTTTCTTTTCTACTATATTTAAATCACAAAATATTGATAAATGAATGGAAAGAAAAGTCATAAGGAATTTAGGACAAAAGGAAAAAACCATAGGCTATTTCAAATTTAGTCTGTATTTAATTTATGTGGAAAAAAAAGTTTCCCAGAGGAGACATGAGATTATTTAAACAAAACTAATCTACAAGCAAAACGTCACATAGAATTGATATCGAAATAAATATTCAAAAAGCAATCTGTTTCAGCACTTGAAGAATCGATTCCAAGCTTTAGTAAATTAAAAAAAAAACAAAAACAATCTTAGCATTCTTAAGTTTAGAAGAGCTCCTAAATTATTATTTTGAAGAGATTGCAACTTGCCATAATTAACATAATTATATAATAAACACTCAAACAAGAACCCCTAAACTTCTAAGAGGCTGAATATAAAAAGGAGAAGAGGATAAAGGGGATGGAGAAATAGATAATTTCAAATATGAAAAGTACCTCCGGCAACAGTTCTTGGCACTGAACCAACACACTGATTCTTGTGCTGCACAGCAGCACAATATTTTCCACAAACAGCTCTCCATGTCATTACTGGGATCCCAGACAACTGTACTTGTCAGCTTCGTGTTTCTTAACTTTCTAAGTGTGTAACGGAAGAGCAGCAGAATGAGGCTACTTCCCTGGGGTTTTGAGATCAGAAGAAGCTTTCTCTTCCTAAGATCGTGTCTAGTCTTGTCCAAGGTACTTGGTTTAGAACACTAAGACTTGCAATGCTTTTCTGGAGTTGCATTTTTTAAGAAAGTAGTATTTTCTGACAGGTATAATTAGCTTTTTTTCATCACCAAATCCAACAGTTTGCCTATCTCCCGTCTAGTCTTATAATACAACAGTCAGATCATTCCACTGCTTAAAAACCTCGTATTTGGAAAATGAAGTCTTTACTTTTAAAAATTAGCTCAGATCTTTTTACTCCTCTGCTCAAAAGCTCGCAAACCCTTTCAGTTTCACTCAGAGTGAAAGTCAAAGTCCTTATAACATGCTAATAATCTGCTTGCCTCCCTCCTACCCCGCTGTGTCTCCTGCTCTACCCCACCACTCTACCCCTGCCTCCCTTCCGTGCAAGGCTCGCCCCCCCCCCCCCACCTCGGCATTTCTGCTCCACTTGTTCCCTTTTCTGGGACGCTCTTCCCCAAGGAATTCACGGCCTCACCACCTTCAAATACGTAAATGCCCCCTTTGAATGATGCCTAGCCTGAGCACCTTATTTAACACCACAGAGCTCTCTTTTTCCTTTATATGCTGGTTTCCCTTTATCTGCTCTACTTTCTCTTTTCCATAACACTTACCACCTTATAAAATAGCTCACAGTCTATTTATTTATTACTTATTGACTCTCTCCCTTTCTTGGAATGTAATTCACAGGAGGGACATTTCAGTCACTGAGGTACCCCACATGCCGAGAATACTGTGTGACAATTACAGGCACTCAGTAAATATTTGATGAGTGAATGACTGAATGGTTTCCACCATATTTGTTATCTTAAATTGAAGGACAAAACTGACCCAAGATTTAACAGATGCCACTGTCAGTGTTTCTCCACCAGAAATGTAAGGTTCAATCACCGCTGGAGTCGACATGATTCCTATTTGGAGCGCCTTAGCTGAGGCCCTTTAATTGCTTCCAAAATGGTCCTTCTTCGCATGGTTGTCAGAATTATCTTTGAAAAGCACAAACCTAAAAGATCACTTCATTGCCTAAAAACATCTATTTATCTTAGAAAATAAAGTCTTTACTCCCTAGCTCTACCTTGGTGTTCCATAATCTGACCTCAATCTAATTTATAAGACTCAATTTCCACCTTTCCTTATAAACCCATGACCTTACCACAATAAAACATACATTTATTTTCACTTTTTGATATGCCGTACTCTGATTTCGATAACCCCACCCTTTCTTCCCCTTGGTTAATGCTATGCGTCTTTCATGACCCAAGACAAACCCCACATTTTTGAAACAGCCTTCTCCAATGCCCCAGGGGCGAGTAGTGTCTTTTTCCTTTCCTGTGCTCCCAAAGTACGTTCTCCACACATCTACTAAAGCCCTTAGCACCCTGAATTAAAAATACTGCATTTGTCTAATTTATGTCTGTGCCAATGTCCCTCACTATTTGTGTGTTCCTTGTTTTTATTCATCTTTATATTCCATATTTCGTTCCTTCCAAACTCACCAGATAGTTGGCATAGTACTTGGCATGTGGAAAGATGAAATAAGTTTTAAGTTACAACCATATTTATTGTATTCAAGAGTCAGCAATAAGCCTTTAAAAATTGAAAAAAAAATTTTTTTAAGTTTTAAGAGACTATCACGTCTTCCTTCCAGGAAGTCAGAGGCCCACGTCAGTCCTTCTCCTCGACCCTGAGCTGGCCCCTGACCAGATTCAGCGCTGGGCAGAACCAGCAAGCTTGGTCCTCTGGTCAAGAACTCGCTTTGGTTTATAGCAGTTATATGGGCGTCTAAATCTCGGCAGGTACAGGGTCCACTGGAATATCAGGCTCCCTGTGTCCAACTCAGGAGTGCGCATCTAGGCTGGATGTGGTTGGACAGCCGGCCAGATCCTGGGATTCATTCAATGGAATGGCTGGGGGTGACAGTGGGGGTGGGGGTAGGGGGAGGTGTCTGATAGCGACTATGGGTGGAGCCAAAGTCCTACCCTGCAAATACAAACTACAACACAGGTGAAAACTCTGTTCTGTCCTATGCAGTGAGGCTTCCAGAGCATCCCATGACCCACCTGCCCCAAGACCCACTTCCTTCCAACCGCACCGCGTGCCCCCAAATGTTGCCCACCACGGGAGGAGACAAGTGGCGAACGGCCAAGCCCCAAGCACTGCGGAGGCTGCGGAAGGTCCAGCGACGCGTCCCCTCCGCCACTGGGAATGCCGCCGGGCGTTTAACCAAAGCTGAACCAATTCACCCAAGGCCCACCAGGCCCTCGGATTCTCACCCTTTCCCGGAGCGAAGCGGTAAGAAAACCAAACAAGGGCTCCCCACGTCTCCACCAAACACTGAACAGCCGCTGGAAGCACCTCGCCACTAACCCCACTCTTTTCTCCATCCCCACAGGAGGCTCCAGTCCTCGGCTTTCCCCGGTCAGACAGGTTCCAGGAGACACAGGGACGCTGAAGAGCCGCGGGCGAAGACGCCCCCCTCCCCGCCCGCAGTCTGCGCATGTGCGAAGAGCGCCGAGGAGCGCGGGCCCGGCCGCTGGGTCTGGTCGCTAGGAAACCAGACGGAAAGTTCCGCTTAACGGTAGACGGGCAAGGCAAAGTGTCGCGCTATTGGTAGAGAGTACAGAGGGGGCTGGCCACAAGGGCCTTTTCTGACCATTGGGTGAAATGACTGTCAATCGGTGGGTGGGCGTGTCCGCACGGGGGCAGCGAGAGCGGCCTTAGCAACGGCTTCCGAGCCTCGGTGAAGGCCACCGTTGGGCTGCACGGCGGGCGGGTGAGGACCTGGGCTCCCGGCCGAGGACGCCGGTGGGCGACATGGTGAGTGCGAAGCTGTAACTTCCTGCTGGGGCTGGGCCTGGGGCTGAATTCCTGGAGCAAGGAAGGAATTTTGTTTAGTTCATGAAATGTGTCATTCGCCTTCTTTTCATGATCTTCGAATGTCATTAGTAACCCCGCCTCTCGTCGCCCAAAACAAGCGCATTGCCCGCGGCCCTAAGGACAGAAGAGCAGTTGTCCTGTTCATTTTCTCCCTCATCAACCACATCGACAGCTGACACCAGCAGTCTGCAAGGGGTGATAGGTTCCCTGTTGGAAACAGAAACCACTCTTGAGCCAGAAAGAAATCGAATACAAAGAATAAGATGCTAAACACTGTTGGACGGGACGGCCTGGGCCTCTAGGAAAGGCGTCCTGAACTCTGAAACGCTGACGGGCCGGGCCGGGGACCTACAAGCTCTGGCCCTGTTGGGAAGGCGAGGATTCTGAAGGCTGCCACTCCAGCCAGTGTGACTGCAGTCCAGGGATCAAGGACCGGCCGCTACCACAACTATGTAACTCTTGAGCACAAGAAGCTGGCGACTAGAGACTCAGGAACACCAAGTCCAGGTGCTGTCTCTGCCACCGCTGCTGCCTACCCCGAAGCTGGGACGAGATACCCAAGTGAGGCTGCAGAAGCGGTCCAGGAGTAGCTGTGACCTCACTTGCCCGCAGAAAATGGCAAATAGCAGGAAGATGACCTCCACCTTCCCTGGGTCCTGATAACTGGCGCAACATTTATTCTTACCCAGATCCCAGAAGTCGTTTTTCACCTGGAAAATGTAGTTTTTTTCATTTCTCAGCCTCTGCGATGTAAAAAAGTATGCTAGAAGGTGCAAAAGGATATTATGTTCCAATTAAGCATATCCCACAAAATAAACCAATTTTATGATGAGACATTTAGGCTTAATGAACGTAAAGATGGCTTTAAGCCCGCTTTTCAGGTATACCCAGTAAGGCCGATTGTATTCTGATATAATATCTACTGTTCCAGCATGCCTTCCTTCGGCTCTTCTCCCTCTCAAAAGGGACAAATTTGAAGGAAAAACATAATTGGTAAAAAAGACCCAGGCTTTCCACCAAGATATTAACAACTAAAAGCACAAATGTTAGCAAAGGAAAAAGGGGAGATTGTTGAGGTTCGTTTTATAGTAGTGAGGAGGATATCTGAATATGCTTATTGTATTTAATTAGTTCATCATCAGTTATTCGGGTTCTGGTACCTTTTCCAGTCACACAGCTTCTCTTTCACCCGCATGTGTATTTATTACAGGCATCCAATGACTGCACAAATTCAGACCAATGGAAGACAAGTGCTGCAAAAACTGAATTGAATGAAACCCAAAACCAAGAAATTAAAGAGGCCTTTGAGTTATTCGATGTTGATGGGTCTGGAACCATAAATGTGAAAGAACTGAAGGTTCAGAAATTACTTCTAATTTTAAAACATTTTAAAATCCATATCATTTATTTGTGGCAATCTTTAAATCTTTAACAGTAGCTTTCTGAAAGCTTGAAGGGACTTATTAAGTCCCTTCAGTGCAGACACCTGCGTCACACAGACAAAATAACATCTTGTTCAACATTTTATTCTTGTTTTATAAATGAATTGGCCAAATCCCAGGGTGTGACAGTGACATATCCTGACACAATAAGATTGGAAGGCCTGTTGATCTGACTGTCTAGGTTTATACCTAGCCCATAGTAAAAAATAAATAAATAAATAAATAAATAAATAAATAAATAAATAAATAAATAAATAAATATATATATATATATATATAATCTAGTAATTAAAAGGTAATTTAAAAGCTAGTAATGAGCCTGTGGCATATTATAGTTTATCTGCTTCCTATTTCAGATTGCAATGCGGGCCTTAGGATTTGAACCAAAGAAAGAAGAAATTAAAAAACTGATAGCTGCAATCGACAAAGAAGGAACTGGCATCATTAGTTTTGAAGACTTTTTTGCCATAATGAGTATAAAAATGGTACAGGAATGATTCTGTTTTCCAAAGTAATATAAGCAATAGCATTCTACATTTTTTGGCTGTAGCAATGACAGGTTTCACAGACAAAGAATTGGAACTAGGTCTTTAAAGATGGGTGGGCATTAGACAAAAGTAACAGCAGGATTACAGATGTTTTCTGGGTAGTAATGAAAACTGCCAGCGTGGAGAAGAGGTTTCTGTTAGGAAATAATAGGATATATGGCTGGACAGACAGAACCGGCCAGCATTTTGAAGCCTTGCATCCCGCAAACCTTCCCTGGGTGCCTGGTTTTGCCAGCCACTGTTTTAGAGACACTGAGGCAGCTCCCTGCTCTCTCGGAGCTTACACTTTTTGTAATGGATCTCAGTTGCTGGGGTCAGTAAGAAACACACCCCCTTCACCATCCCGTGCCTCTTCCACTTCAATAAACCCTGAGTTTGAACACCTTGAGGGCAGATGCGCGTGCACTGGCATCATTTTAAAAGAGCAGTAAGTGAAGTCAGACGTTGGCTCCCTGTTACACTGTTGCTGTACTTAAAGGCCTGTAAGCCCAGCTTGGTAGAATAATACATAAATGAAAGACTAATGACATTAGCTGTTTTTGTTTTTAAAGAGTGAAAAAGATGAAAAGGAGGAAATACTGAAGGCTTTCAAATTATTTGATGACGACGACACTGGAAGCATAACACTAAACAATATCAAGAAGGTTGCTAAGGAACTAGGGGAAAATTTAACAGATGATGACCTTCAGGTAAATTTTACTTACTTTTATAACTGTAATTTACATATGTGATTATATACAATTATAATTTATATACAATGTAATTTATGTTTATATTCTTTAGTTGTATTCGTAAATACATGTAAAATAGAATTTTGTTTTGAGTATATATTTGAATATTCATTTACATCAAGTTATTTATTTTTAATAGGTTTTACATATCATATTTGCATTTTGTTTTCCAGGAAATGCTTGATGAAGCTGACCGCGATAGGGATGGAGAAATAAATGAGGAAGAATTTTTGAGAATGATGCAAAAGACCAGTCTTTATTAATACTGTTTTTTGTTCCTTCTTGAAGTTAACAAATTTGTATTTGTTATACAGTTCCATAATATCTGAATATTCATTTTCAATTTTCAGTATTTATGTGCATAAATTGGTCTCTTGATGTCTAATCCATGTGAGAAGTTAAATTTACCACATCAAGAAACAAAGAAAATGTAATGACTTCCTTGAACCATGAATCCAAGAACAGTATTAATTCCAACTGCTATTATTTTTCGAGCCCAGAGCCCAAAAACTTAGAATTTTTTTAAGTTTAATGAAATTGGCCCCACAGGCAAATCTATTTGGTAAACAAGCCATTAGTTTCCCTATTATTTTCCTTTTGTGCAACTCTTTAAAAACAGATGAACATTTGCTTTTTCTTCAGTTATTCAAATATGTAAAGTATTAAATAAAACCGTTTGGCAACTATGTTATTTGCTAATTTTCTTCCTATAAATCAAAACAGCACTTGTATCACTCAGCTTTCCCTGTAAGTTTTACCCTATAAGTTAGCATTTATTTAGTACTAATATCCTACGACAGGTGCTGGGAATTTTCCCTGTTATCTCAGTTAATATATTACAACTTGGTAGTATTAGCTCCATCTGACTACATATGAGGAAACAAAAGTTCAGAGAAGTTAAATTTAAAAATTGCTCAATTGCTCATAGATTCTAAATAAAACATGGATTCTAAATCTTGTATCCTGACTCTTCATTAGGCTGCCTCCCTATGGATAAAATCTCTCAGGATAAGTATATTTTCTAACTCATTTAATTCTATGACTCTTGTAATTTAATTTTGTTTTCTATGAAAGAGCCAATCTGTTGGGAGAGGCAGTCTCCTGTGTGCAGTCTTTTGACCCCCATTGGGCCACATATGAATGGGCTCTGGGCCTGGACCACATCCTTACCAAGAGAGAGCATCCTCTCACCTTGGTTGGGAATCTCTCGCCCTGTCTCAGACTCAATGTACTTCCTTGTTCTACTTATGCATGTCATACGGTGCCTGGCCCGCCCCACGGCTCTATCTGTCCCCTTCAGAGGAAGGACGGGGTCCTGCTGCTGCACAGCAGGGGTGTGGGCAGTCCAACTGCCCCTTGTAAGCTTCTGGAAGGGACCTGGGAAGGGACCATGGGAAACCCGACGCTCACTGCTGAAGCTGATTCTGCTCTGCCTCTTGCCTATGTGAGGAATGCACTGTTCCATCGAGTCCTGGGCTGCACTGTGCATTCCTTGGCGGCTCTGGTACCAAGATGCATGGGCAAAAGCAGACTGACGACACGCAACAGATAACGGGCAACAAATTCTTCCTAAATCCAAGTGATGGTCTTTGGAGCAACAAGGATTGTGGAAAATGGAACTTTAATTGCCCCACCGGGTTCATGTTTAGCTCAGCTAAAATAAAGACTGAAGTTTTCATCAACACAAGAGAGGGTTTGTTATTTGATTGCAGCTAGAACGGCATGTGCTCAGAACATTCTTAAGTGTTTCACAATATCTTTAGTTCCTAATTATGTAGCATTTTCTCCTAGACTGAAAAAAACAATACCTACTAAACATGGGTCATCTGTGAAAATTATGGCCTTTAAGTTGTTAAAAGATTTCTATTTGTAAGAGGGCAACACACTTAAAAACACACACGAACAAGTTCAAAAGAGTTCTAAAGAAAAGGCTCCTTCCCATTCGAGCCCCCGTTCTCTCCTTAGACAATTATTTCACCAGCATTTTCACCAGAATTGCAGAGAATGCATGTACATGCAAATATATCTGTAGAATTAATTCTTACAAGTGAAATAGTTGGGTCAAAAGCTATACGCATTTTAATTTAAGCAGTTTTATTTTGATAATTGCCTTCTAAATTTTTGCCAAATTACATTTCCAACAGTATATGAAATGCCCATTCTTTGATAAGTTATTACCAGACTTTTGACTTCTGCCAGTCTGACAAGGTGCAAGTCATATCTCACTGTATTGGGTTGTCAGAAAAGTCATGACGTATTTTTTCTATGTTTTTCGTTGCAAAAATGCATCATGACTTTTCCGACAACCCAACAGTTTTAATGTTAATTTCTCTTATGAGAGACATTGTCTTTTCTTGTTCAGGATCTATTTTTTTCCTTTCTGTGTATTGTCTATCCACCTCCTTTGCCTAATTTTCTATTGGTTTTTAAAAATTTATTGATTTGTAAGAGCTCTTTATATAGAAAGGAAATTAATCTTTAGCATATGTGTGTTACATGCATTTTTCTGTTCTTTTGATTTTGATTACGGTTCAGCATTTAAATTTTAAGACTTTTACTTCATGCAATGATTTCTACAGATGTTCAAACTATGCAACAGTAAGATGGCAGTGATCTGTCTTTTACCAGCATTCTCGCAAGTCTTACAGAAAACATAACTTTAGATCCCCACCTGAGAAAATAACACAAAACAATCCAATTGAAAAATGGGCAGAAGACTTGAATAGACACTTTTCCAAGAGAAACATACAGATGGCTGACAGGTACATGAAAAGGTGCTCAACATCACTAGCTACTAGGGAAACGCAAATCATAACCACAGCGGGATATCACCTCACACCTGTTAGAATGGCTGTTGCCAAGACAAGAAGTATTGGCGAGAACGTGGAGAAAGAGAGGCCTCACTCTCAGGATATAATACATCTGTGTCTTGACAGAAAGCTGGGGAAATGTACTGAGCCCCCCCCCCCCTCAACTCCCCTCATCTCACCCTGAACTCTCATTTCATCTTTGCAGCACTGCACAGCGACCTATTAACAACTCGGCTTTTGCTCGGCCCTTTGTTCTCTCTGCTGTTGTCTGCGGGGCCTTTTGGAGTCTCACGCTAAGCTCATGTAATGCATGAGGGAGGAGGGGATTGAGACGACTTTTTCATTGCACTTCACCTTGACTCCCGGCTCTCTGTAAGCTTTCCTCTCCAGTTCTAGGCACTTCGGCAGCCCCCAAATTTCAACTTGTTTCTCCTCAGCCCGACAGATTCCTGCCTTTTTGCTGGGGCCTGTTTCCCCTGTGCTGAGAACTGGAAACTGCTCTCAGACAAAAGCCCTGGTGAGTGTGGGGCATCCCTGCAGCGGCGTCTTCACCCAAGGACCCAGCCTCTCCTCTCCTGTCCTGCCGACTGGGTGCTGCCAGTTCCTTCATGCACTTGTTTCATATATTAGCTTTTAGAGTTGTTTTCATCCGAAGATGAGTTCATCGTATCTTGAACCTGAAATGACGACAGCGAATTGGAATTGGGCGGGGGTGGGGATGGGAGTGCTGCTGGCTGCAAAGCCAGTTAGGAGGCGATTGCAATCATCTAAGCAAGGGATGGAGAGGGCCTGGCCACCAAATAGCCGCATCTGGTTTGGAAAAAAGAGGTTCAATTCTAAGCTTTCATTCCTGAGATCTTGTTTTTATTCATAGGACCCTGATGAAATAGCACCATATTGAGTACGGTTACGGAGTGCTTACTGTGTGAGAGGCACTACTGCGCCTCCTACACACGGCTTCTCTGATTCAAGTCCTGTGCCCACTGGACACCATGATCGTCATTCTGACTTCACAGGTAAGGAAACAGGTACAGATGGTTTCAGTGACGAGCTCACCATCACAGGTTCAGTAAATGGTGCACGTGGACTTTGGGTCAGGCCTGTTGGCCCCACACTCGGTGCTGAACCCCTCTGCCTGGCTGGCTTATCGCGCCTTGTCAGGTGTTACCTTTCCAGGGGAGATGTGACAGCCCATGTTCTCAGACAGAGGGGCACAGAAGTGATTCCGGTGGTGGTTTCTGTTGTTCAGAAAAGTGAGTGAAGAAGTCATACGTAAGGAAAGTGATAAATCTGGAGAGGTGAAACAGAAGAAAAAGATAACTTTTTAAAATGAAAGAATAGATTTAAGTCTTTGTAGCGAGTCATCATGTGGCCAAGAGTAGGCAGTCAAGACGAGCAAATAACTGGGAAGACCAGAGAATGAGTATAGTGACAAAAGTTATTACTTGACAGTTCACATATGGGCATTGCGCCCCAAATCACTTTCCCTTGGTGAGGGCTCATTTTAGCCAGTCAGTTTTAAGTGCAAGTTTAAGTATTTGTTAAATGAATGAAAGAGGGAAATTCAATTCTAACATTAAGAGCTCCTGTCATTGCACCTCACCCACTGAGATTAGCGGGCTGGTCACACACGCTGGAGCACGGAGGCCACACCACTAGAGGGCGTTGAGGTCTTGTCTCAGCTGGATGAGTGAAGGTGCGGTTTGATCTATGCTTCTTATCATAGTTTTCACATAAATTAGTTGAAGATCTTAAAGAAAAATCAAAGTTAAAGATGTAATTTATCAAGTATAATTTAAGAAAATGTTATAGAAATTGTATTATTCTGTAATTCACTTCCTTGGTCGTTAATTACTTATGTTAAAGAAAGTCAAAATTTTCACTTAAAACTGATCTGACACTATTCTAAATATAAGCCATGGAATTACCAGGGGAAAATATATTATGTGTATATTTTTAAAAGATATTTTTCCCTCCAACCCAATGTTGAAGATGTCTGACATTTTCCTCTGACTATATGAGGTAAGAAATCAATTGCTTCATATGCAAATGACTCTGGAAAGAGAGTCCCTAAACTGGGGATAATGGTTACTGCTGGGGGAGGAGCGGGTGTGATTAGGGAGGGGGTGTGATTTGGGAGAGGGTGAAGATGTTAGCTTTTTACTCACCCTGCCTAGATGAATTTTAGGAACATAAATTTTATACTTTAAATAAAAGAAGTAAAAAATTCACCTGCATTTAAAAACGAGGTTAGGAAGATAACATATGTGTGAAAATGAAATAGAAGTCCAAGTTTATATAATCTGTCTAAATATTTATAAATACAGTGTCCAAGTGATATTAATAAGCATTCTACAATTCAACATTAAAAAGGAAGGAAGGGTGTTGGTTACACTGTACACTTTTGCACCTCCTGTTGTATAACAGTCACACATGGGCTCGGAGGTCTTCAGAAATGAAACTTATTTAATTTGTGCTAGCCCCAAATATATCAGTTTTGTTGATAACAGAACACTTATTTTTCTTCACACTTAACAAAAGAGTTCACAGTTCTATAGACTCAGTTTGAGAAAAAGTGACATAAACAAAAGAATTAACTGTACATGAACAAAGACACACCCATAGTCAAACTAAACTATATTCTGGATAAGGTCCTTTACATGAATTTTAAGCTAATGAAAAAATATAGAGGTACACTGTATTCCATTCTTTCTTTTTTATTAGAAATACTACCTTTTACTTCTCTTGCAAATATAATGTGGATAAATCAAATATCAAACCACATAAAATTATGAAGTAAAAAAACCTCTACATGTCAAGTAGCAACCCCATATTCTCACTTATTAAACACCCCTGAGCTGCCGTGTCCTGAGGAGTGTTCAATGATCAGTGTCATGGCCTTCATGCTTTCACTGCCAACCGAATCAAAAAAGCACCCTCCCTGCCCGACAGACTGGAGTTAGAAGACCCTTCCCATCAGCCCAATCGGGGACTGTCATAGAGGCATGAGGTCAGAGGATGCGGAGCACACAAGCGTTTTGCCAGGCCGGTTGAAAGAAGGGAACATTTTAGGAATATTGCTTATTAAGATAGGATTTAAAATGAATTTTGAATAATCAGATAAGAAGGTGGTGGAGTTGTTTTGTCTTTTGCAAATAGAGCTAAGGGCTCGGATGACGGAAGCAACTTTGGGACACACCATAGAGAGAATTAGCAGACTCCAGGTAATGAAAAAAGACAGCAATCTAATTTGAGCAAGAGAAAAGGCCATTTTCTTACCTATGTCTGGCTAAGCATGTAGAGTGTGTGTGCGCGTGTGCGTGTGTGTGCGCGCGTGCGTGCGTGTGTGTACATGCGTGCATGTGCCAGTCATTATGTGAGAATAATGTCACCTCCGCTCAACTGTGTATTTTTGGTAAATACGTAGCATGAAATTATGCATAAATTATATTTTGTTGTTATTCCTCAAACTAAGTTCAGTCTTTCTCCTTCAAGTGCTTTTATTCATTTTTCATGAAATGTAGGTTAAGAAATTCCATCAGGTGTCTGGAGTGGGTTGACACCACTTGATTAGTGCAGCCAAATTCCTTACCCCAACTATGAAAACATGATAAACAGCATGTGCTAAACAGGCTCATTTTTGTCTGGATATGTTAGGTATTACAGCATAAAACTCGTCCTCAATGTCCCTGAACACTTCCTACCCACTGTTTCAATATTATATCCTGGAATCCTTGATGTCATCATTTTTCAAAAATTCAATTATTTGGGTTAATTTGGAAATTCAGTATAAGTGGCTACTGTACATCTCACGCTGTGCATCTAGGTTGAACAGTACTAAAGATCCATCTTACAAAGAATATAAATGTGCTAACTAAAATCTTCGAGCCAAAGTTAATTATTATCACTAAAACCTCCATTTTAAAGCCTCTGCCAACTTCCCAATCATTTTGGAAAATTTCCAGACCAGTGGTCTTGTTTCCTTACATCCTTATTCTCAAAAGTGGAAAATCTGAACCCTCCTAAGTAGGCCTGGTGCCTGTGAGTGGGCACAGCAGGTAACACATCAGCAATAGGTATGATCTGGGGACAGGCAAGGCGGTGGGTTCAAATGTGCTCTTTCACAGGGGGACGCGACTTGTATTATTTTGGGGTTAGATGATGAAGTTGGAGCCATTGTCTCCGTAGGACATGCTGGACAGACAGACAGAATACGCTATGGAAAAAGGCAGACAAGTAGTTTCTAATCTTCCAGTCACTGTTAAAGCAGATCGGACACTTTGGCCCAGTCACCTATACGTCTCTGCACCTTTTATTACGGCATACATAAAAGGTGGAAAAGGAAAGGCCTGTCTGAGCAGCACTGTGGTGCTGCTGAGAACCCAGGGGATAAAAGAAAACGCCTTCCATGTATGAAGTAGGTGAAACCGACAGTAAACGATGTATCAGGAACCATGTATTTACCACCCTGACTTAAAAGATGCAAACAATTCGCTGAAATTGGCAAAAATCCCATTTCTTATTAAGAAATAAAACATTACAGCTACAGCAAAAGGTACTCTCTTGCCTCCGCTATCATTTTCCTCTCCCTTCTCAGAAGTAGTTGGTGTGTATCATTTCCAGGCAATTGTCTGTACTTTTACCACACACATACGTATCCCTAAAATTATAAACTATTATTTCAGGTGTTTCAAATTTTACCATAGCATGTATAAATACCCGTATAGAGCTTGAGGTTTTTGCTTGACATTATATTTTTGAAATTTATTTACACGGATACATGTTAATATTGTTCATTCAACTGCTCGACAGAATTCTGTTACGTGAACAGTGTATTTCTGTACAGGAAGTTAGATTGTTTTCCTATTTTTACTATTAGCAACAACACTATAAGGAGCATCCTTACACTTCCTTCATCATAACAGCTTTTCTAGGATAGCCACTGTCTTGGTCGGCTCGGGCTGCCCTAACAAAATGCCATAGGCTTGGTGGTTTAAACAACGGAAATGTATTTTCTCACAGTTCTAGAAGCTAGAGGGCTGAGGTCAGGGTGCCAGCATCGTCAGGTTCTGTGAGAGCGCCTTCTTGGCTGGTGGATAGTCACCTCCTCGCTGCGTCCACATGGCAGAGAGGGGAGAGGGAGGGAGATCGCCATCTCCTCTTATCCTGTCAGTTTCGAGCCCCACCCTTCTGACCTTGGTTATCCTTAATCACCTACTACAGAGCCCATCTGCAGACACGGTCACATGAGGGCTTCCCCATGTGAATCTGCGGGGACGTAACTCAGTCCATAGCTGGGCTGCATGGAGTCTGCATCTCCAACTTTTCTACATATTCCCAGGTTGATTTCCAAAGTCATCGTAATAATGTACACACCCACCAACAAGTATGTAGATAATGTAATATTTTTAACCAGAACTTAAAAATCGCAAATGGCAGGTAGAGGGGCCAACACTTTCAAATGGCAGCTTCCTTTTCCTATCCCACCATAGCTGGAGTCTTCCTCCAAGGGCTTCTGCCAATCAGGTCTTTCCTTTGCAGCCTTCACTGCATGGGCTGGTCTGTTCTCTTCTGTAATCCCAGTAGGAAAAACACCGACCTACTCAGCCCATTGCGTCTTATTAAGGCTCCGTGTGGTGTGGAACGGAGCTAGCCAATGGGGTCAGAGTGAGCGCTTGAGTTCTTCCCAAGAGGATCCGGCTCCCGCTTGCTGGGAAACAACGATACAAATAAAGCCTCAAGTCCTCGTGCTCCAAACAAGCTCTGGTTCCAGTTGTGAAAAGGCAGTGTTGTTTGACCGCCACTGGTTTCTTTCTGTTTTTCAAATAGGATGTTTAGTTTTCCTGAAAATGATTTAAGCGACATTGGAGCCCCCACCTCCATCACTCTGTCACTGCCTGCCCCTAATTTTGCATTTTGCTTCCTCATTTCTCCAGCACTCAGGAACCCTACTTTCCTTCTGTTAACAGGATTCCCCCTTCTGAAAACACAGGGGCGTTTTATTTGCCCCCTGAGTACTTGTCTGAATAGAGAAAAGTCTGATTAGAGAAAGAGATGGTTTCTTATGTTTCAATCATATAGACAGTCTATGAATCAAAAGGGATTTTTTCAGAGTGAGTTAAACAATCTATTTTCTTTCCCGTATGTGTCACCATTTTTCTGGAAACTCTTACTTATCAGGTAAAACGTTACTTAGGGAGGTTCTCTGACAGCTTACCATGTTCTACGCTGGATCCCACAGTGAAGCCAGAAAGCTGAAAGTGTCTGCCGCTCTCACTTCCGTGGCAACTGTCTGAAGCGCCAAATATAGGATCATCGTGTCGTTGTAGGACTCAGCAGCAGAAGGAACTGTGTGGTGAGGAAAACCCCTTTTAGTCAGAAATTTTTCTTTAGGAGGTCAAGACCTTTAAAAAATTGATGGAAAAGTACCAAACAATACCTTTACATATGTATTTTTTTAATGCTGCACTGTTCTTAGCTAGGGAATTTTACATTTGTGTGTCATAATGAATCCATTTCCCCTTCCTTGTCCCCTTCTCTTTCCGTGTCTGTCAGTCTATCCATTCCTTGTTCTTTCCCCTCTCTAGCCCAGCAGGAATTGGAAAAATATTTTTAAAAATAATACATGCAACCAGTTATGAATAACCGCATACATACATATATGGGGCCCTCTGAGCGATGAGCCAATACATACCTACCTACCTTAGCAGGGCTTGAGATTCCTCACATCATCTGGAGACAAAGAAAGCTCTGAGCTGCGGTCAACCCACACTGACCAGTTGAACAGTTTTCCAGTTCGTCCTACTTTAGATCTTTATTATTTAATCCCAAAGACTGAATTTTTAGAGCCTTTCTCTTATATTGAAATACGATGTTTTTTGGTAACCTGATATTATCTGTAGCACAAAAAAAAAAATCAAGAAATCACTAGAATGTCTCCCTTTCTGAAGGAAAGGGGGATGTATCCATATATCCTTAATAGGAATATGCATGATACACACGAAAAGACTTGGGTTTGAGGTCACTGCAATCTTCAGAGGAAAACTTGCACATTTCTATATCTTGGGCTTCCATTTGTACTCCCTAGGAGCTCAGGTCACCTGTCATCTGGAGGTGAGGACTCACAGTGGCCTTCACAAGTATTTGAACTATATGTAAGACATCATATATAGATTTAAACTCATTTTTAAGTACCAGCTATATTAAAGGAAGAAGGCTGGAACAAAAGGTGTTGGCAACAATAACACTAAGAAAGTCTTAGTTTGATAATGAAATATTTATTAGTTGATGGTTTCTTTATAATATTACATCCCACTTTCTATAAGCAGTGAAAGAGATTTTACTGTGACTTGTAAACTACTAATCATAGTTTTTCTGTGATTTCTAACAGGTATCTATGGCTATGGAGAGAAATGGCTTTCAGAATAAAAAGAAACACGCCATGCGTTTTAGGTAACATGGAGGGTGCTAAGCATGGGCCAGGACGGCGTCCCCACCTCCTCCAAAGCTTAGGAGGAGGGGCGTCTCGGAAGAGTGTGTGCCGGAGCCCACCTTCCCCAGGAGCTGCCTGACCTGAGGACCCACCCTCCTTCTTTGTCTCCTGACAGTTGGTGGCTCTGTCACTGGTGTGCCCATGGAGTGGCCAAAAAGAGTGCCAGGCTCAGACACATGCCCATTTCTGTAATTCAGAGAGAGGAGTATTTTGATCTGTTTTAAAGAGAACTGAGTCACTCATGTAACTGCAGGAGGTGCGGGGCTGTGTCTGGCCCTTGGGTACAGGACCAAATTCTGCCAGAGCATTCTCTTTCCCTTACACATCTCTGCTTCTTTCAGGGTCCCTGCTCTCCCACAACGGAGCAGATGAGCCTCTTCCACACAGAAGTCGGCCACCCACTGCACCAAAGCCTCCCCTCTGTGTCCACACAGACGAGAACCAGGGCCATCCAACCGACCTGGCTAGGGCCGGCAGCTTCCTGGGGGCCCCACTGGGGTGGCACTCATCCTGAGCCACTCAACAGTGTGGGAGATTCGGTGTTCCCAAGTGAGCGTGCAAAGTGCTTTTGGTGGGTACTCAGAGTTGATTCAAGGTGGCCTCACTTGGTCTTTAAGCCCTTGGCTTAGGTCACCTGTCATCCACAGGTGAGGGCTCACAGTGGCCTCACAAGTATTTGAACTGTATGTAAGACATGCGATATAGATTTAAACTCATTTTTATATACCAGCTAGATTAAAGGAAGGCTGGGAAATCTCAAAGTTTTATTAAGATTTTATAGTTAAATTATATGGTTATCAATAATAGTTTTACTGGCTATGAAATTTATATGGAAAATAGTTAAATGGTAAATTACATGATTTTTTTTAGCACATAAGGTTCTGATGAGACACAGATTGTGGAGAGAAATGGCTTTCAGGATGAACTGAAGAAGAAATTTCTATTTATAAACAAAAAGGTCACATGTGTGTACTAAATAGTTTGACTTTTTAAAAAATATGAGATGGAATTAATAAGGTTTTAACTGAATAAAAGAATAATGTTAGTTAGCATAGTGATGTTATTGAAGAATGTGACTTCTTTTAAAAAATGTTGAGAGCTTGTATTAGAATAGGTTTGAAGCTAAGGGAGCACTTAAATCTCTCAGTTCTGAACTAAGAATAAGTTAACGCATTTTTATGCAATTTTTAAAGAGGTAGAACACACATATGCTTCCTACTACCTTAGTTTCCCCAAAACCAACTTTTAGGTCCCTCTTCTAACAGAACGTGCCCACTGCTCCTCCTTGAATAAACTGGAGATTCTTCCAAAAAGATGTGTCATTGTGAAATGGAGGGAGGGTCTCCCCTTCAGGACATGAAAGAGGCCACATTGGAGATGTTCCCCATCTTCTCAGTTGAAACATATGAAGGATTTTCCCACAGGAATAATGAACAGAAAGGGTTGGGTCTTAGGCATCTAAGCCATCCCGGTCCCTCTGGCTTTCTGACTGATGAAGTGTCCAGCAAGGATCACCAGCCAAATGAGAGAAATTAACTACTGGCTTATTAATCTGCACCAGCATTTTCTTCAACTCCCTGATTAAAGGATTTGGGTCACTCTGTGATGGAGAACTCATCCTAGGCCTGAGACTAAAGTGGGGTTTTCTGCTGCCTTTGCAAATATGAAATATGGGTCAGGTATGCCTGGGGAGGAGAGACAGAGGGAGGGAGGGAGAAGGGGAGGAGAAAGGAGGGGGAGGAAGAGGGAAGGGGGAAGGGAGGGAGAGGGCGAGGAGACTCCACGTCCATGAACCCAAACAGTCACGTGGGAGAGGACAACAAGCCTGAGAGACAGTGGCAGGTCCTCACTGCCTAGCCATACAGCGATCCTGCCCATGGAGGAAAGGTGGCTCAAAAAACACCAGGCTCTAACCAATGAGCTGCTCCTCTTCCTTTGGAAAGAGCAAACAAGGAGAAAGGGGGCCACAGAGAGAGAGGAGCCCTGAGCAGTGGGAGGTAAAGTGTTCCCCCCATGCTCCCTGGCTATCGATGTCATTCAGTTACAGTACATGGTTAAACGGGCTTTTGTATGTTTGCTGGGAACATAATACTATTGTTTCTATGGGGAAAGGTGCTCTGATTTTTAAATGAGTGACTCACAAATGAACTGGACTGCAACGCACCAAGCAGATTTAGCTGTTTCTCAAAAGAACTGTGTGTGCACCCTGTACTGTGACAATCTATGTAGGTGTCATTGCTTTGTCAGCAATGGCTGGATAGTCCTCCCTAAGTCCTACAGGACAAGATGCAGTTTCTCCTTAGACTAGGCCGGGAGATATATGTATTTCAGCAAATAACACAAATTGGAATTAACTTAATCACTTATTAGGCTAGTGAGTGCAATCAAAGGGGGAATTATTCTAGAAACAATAGCATTTTTTTTTCTGGTTTAAATTCTCCCTCATTTCTTCACTGTACTAGAAAATGATTTTATCCATTAGCTTTCAGTAGATTATAAAGCCTATCCCAAAACTCAGCAGCTCAAAACAAAAACTATATGATTCACGTGCCTAGGAAAGGGAATCTTCCAAGGCCTCCTAAGGCCTCACTGTCACTTCCATGTCATTCTGTTGCCCGGGGCAAGTTACATAGCTAAACCCAAAGTCAAGGCGAAAGGCATTCTGCAAGGCTCACGGCACACGGCAGGGACCCGGGAAGCGGCAGAGAACTGGAGCCACTGGTGCGATCCGCCACCAGGATCGCTCGCCGGTCCAAAAGCTGAAATGAGATGCTGCTTCTTGGAGACTCAAGTGTCTCTGTGACCGTGGGCGCTCAAGCTCAGGGGAGGGGGAGCCGTGTGAGCCTCTGAGTGGCCTGTCCTGCACAGGCCTGTGCCCGAACCCGCCATTTACAGACTCAAGACTCCCTGAACCACACTATTTCAGAGCATTTGATCCACCGGGGCCGCAGAGGGAGCTGGAGCCCTCTGTCTCCATCTCAGGGCCGTGACAAAGAGAGCCAGCCAGTGTTACTGTGATGACAAAATTAAAAGAAATGCCATTTGGCTCTCCTATAAAAGGGGCTGATTACTATAATTTATCCAATTTAACTTTTCTCATCATCTCATCCTCCCTGTCCACCCACTGTGCCTTATTTGCAACCACTTTTGCACACATGTGTATCTACATAGGCATGTCTCTGTGTGTGTGTGTGTGTGTGTGTGTGTGTGTGTGTTTAAAATCTAGGCCTTTGCTATTTTTGCCCCTTGAATCCATGTTATGTTATTGGTGCAGAAAAAGATATTTGGGATGTAAATCTTCACCATTCAATAGCAATCGTCCTGAGTTCTTATCTGACTCATCAAGTCATACTTACTGAGGGTATCAGGTATGGACTCTCTACTTCCTGCAGCACATTTGTGTAGGTGTATTATTACCAGAAACCCTCCCAAACGCTACCCAGCATTCTACAGAAATGACTAGGATAAAAGAAAAGAAAGACTGAAACAAAGAAATGTGATTGTTTTTATGTCTTACCATCAAGAATATCATTTTAGTTAAAATGAGACCATTCAAATGAGAGTAAACAAATTTAAATAAAAAAGAAGTTTTGATGCTGATTTCTCAACTGAATGGGGTTTTACCTGATAAAAATCTACAAAGCAGAATATTTATCCTCAAAAATATCTTACTCATGCTTTCATACCTTCAAATATGGTAGATTTTTGAAAAACTAAATAGGTTGAGAGTTTTTTATGATACCTTGGCTTTGTGTTTAGAGAAAGGAAAGTTAGTTCAATTATTCATTCAATAGCCATTTGTTCAAGTACAAAGTTAAAGAGGCTCTGTCTCTCTTCTCCCTTGCTTTAAAATTTAGAGCTTTGTCTAACAGAGGAAACTGAAGTAAGCAAACAAGCAAAATCATACTTCAGCACCTTCCTACTTTCCTCTACTGCTTAACACTGGCCTCCACCAGCTCCGCCAGTTTTGGACACCCCAACATTACCATGGCCACCTCCGCTATCACAAAGCAATCTTGCAAAGGTCTGCTGTGCGTATTTGTCCTGCAGGAAAATCTATAAGAGTTGCAGAAACCTTGATTCATTGCTTCTCAAAGTTTCACCATCGGCAAAAATCTACACAACATCATCCTGACTTGTCATATTAACCCAGGTAGCAGTGTCTTCTATAGGTAGCATTTGGTAAACACAGTGAAGAAGCGCACCCAGACCAGCTATGCTCAGCCCCTGCTTCATTTCCACGTGCACACACATACACACACAGCCCCAAAGCAGCGGGGAGGCAGGCAGGCTTTGTGGTTGATTTTCTTTTTAGGCAGAGACTGTGTGAGTATGCACTCATGCTATGGCTGGTTTTGACTAACACAAATGACTACCATAGGT